TGTACTCAAAAATGATAGCTATCGAGAACAACAAAAAAAAAGTAGCTAAGCGAACAAAGTCAAAGTGAAGACAGAAGGAAAGAAAAAACAACACAGAGAGAAGAGTCGCCCTTTTTACATGAGAGAGAATCGCACTCTACCACCCCTCTCAACAGCCGAACTGAACAAAAACCATATCCCCTTTCATTTCCATCCATCATTTCCCTCTCGTATTTTCCTTCCTTCCTCCCTCCTCCCACCCCATTACCGATGGATGTTTTACTGTGTTACCACAGGTCGGTCGGGACTCGTATGTAATTGCGTGTGTGTGCGAACGGCTGCAAAGAGCACAAAAAAAGACATGGTAAAACCCCCCCTCCATTAATAACCAACCAAGCCCAAAAATATCATCCTCCTCTTTTTCCCGAGGGCTTTCGCTTGAGCGGGTTGTTGTTGTTGTTGACATAAAATATTCGAGAACAAATCGCTTGTACCGTGTGCAGAGATAGAACCCCGAAGAAAGAGAAGCAGAGCACAAAAAGACAACCCCCAACATAATAAAGAAGACAGACACCCTTCTCCCAATTACGCTTCGTTGGAAGCCTTCCTCAGACCAAAGTAAAGTCCCACTGCAAGCGCAATGATGAGGATGATGAGAATGCAGATACCGAGGCACCACCACTTCATCTTTCTCCGGCGGCGCGCGTGCTCGACGCCCTTGCTGATCTGAATGTTAGCGTTGCCGAGGTGATCCGTGGTCTGCTCGGCCTTTTGCGCCACATCCTCGATGATGTTGCCCTGCTGCACAATCTGCTGGTTGAGTAACTCCAAAAGGTCAAGAAGTTCGCTGATCGAACGCTCAATCTTGAGCATGTCGTTGTGTCGCGCACGGACATTGCCGAGGACTGCAGACGCCTGGCCTGATCGGTTGGTGCGGAGCTGGTTGAAATTATTAGCATAACTGATACCAGGAAGGGATGGTGAAAACACATACTGCAGTCTGGAAGATACCCTCATCACCCCAGTCGGCGTCGGCGGCTTGCTGGACTTCAGCCTCGGTTGCCTGGGGGTTGACGATGCGATACTGGCGGGCGATCTGTTCGCGGTAGCGCTGCTTGTAGGCTTGCTCCTCGCGCAGGAAGTTTTGGATGGTCTCCTTGAAGTCATTGTTCAAGCTCTCGAATTGGCGCTTCTTGACGTTGAAGCTGCCGTCTTGGGTGCGCTCGGTGTCGCTCTTGAGGGATTGGATCTGGCCGCGGATGGAGGTGTTCTTGAGCTGGGTCTCGGCGACGAGCGCATCGAGCTGCGACTGGGCGTTGCCGTCGGTGTCTGCGAGCGCGCGGCCGTGGAGGGTCTCGATGTCGCGGATGTTTGCTGTCAAGCTCTGGATTTCCTGGCGGATGGCGGATACGCGCTGGAGGAAGTCGTTTTGCGAGAGGACGTGTCCGCTCTGCTGGGGTTGTTGCGCCATGCCGTATCCTTGCTGGGGAGGGTCGTAAGGCTGGTTGCCACCATATGGAGAACCATACTGCTGCCCTCCGTATGATTGCATCTCATATTGATCCTGCTGCTGCTGCTGCTGCTGTTGTGGTAGTGGTTGCCGCGTCAGCTGGGTTTGGTCCACGACATCAAACGCTCAGGGGTCGAGGACGGACGTCACAGCGCGGATGTGTCGGCCGTTTGCAAGGACATGGCGATCCAGCAAGGAAGGGTGAAGTTGAAAAAACTGCCAATCCGACACATCCGACGAAGTGACGCGATTCAGAAAATACTCACAGGTTGACCGTAGCCATAGCCAGACTCGGCCGAGGGCCCCTGGTTATAGGGATTGTACGACATTGCCGCTGACGCAATTCGCGATTGACACTGTTGTTCCAATTGACAATTCCTCGGGATTTTGGACGGTCGTCAATTCGATTCGATGGTTCGCCGTTCGAATCGATTTCGTCTCAAGCGGCAGGTGCACAAACAAAAAAGCTGTTGTTGTTGGTGTTGTTGGTAGGTTGTTGTTGAAAAGAGATGAGCAGAAGAGCAGCAGCTGCTTGCACTGCCTTGGCTGCGCGTCCTGCTTTGTTCACTGTTCTTGAACCTTGTGGCTGATCGTTTTTTGTGGCCCCGCAAATTTCCCTTTCCTGCAGGAGTCAGCGGCCGCCTGGACCATGCCTGGGTGCTTGGCCAAGGATGCGGGATCCATGTGAAGAAACGGGCTCCACAAGTGACGAGGCAGCACTGTGTTGATTCGACGAACCAAACCAACGCTTTTACACAGCCTTTTATGAAAGACAGGTTAATTTTCTGGATGGGAAATTCGGAGTTTGTCGCTTCAATTTGTTATCTGCGTCATTGCGAGAGACCCAGAATTCTGGGAGCATGGAAGAGCGCAACAGCTCCGGCCCGCACCGGGTCTTGTTCAACCCGTCCCTTCCCCTCCGCAGCCCAGAACCGTTCAGTCGGAATATCCCATGCAGATCCAACAAAGGCATGTCAATTGCCAATTGCCAATTGCGAAATGCTCAGCAATGCTTGGAATCTAGAATTTTGATGCTGCATCTGACTACCAACAACATCGGAGTTTGAGAACCTGGAATGTCAGCAATCATGACATGAAACCCTAACCCTTCTATTTTCGTCTGATGTTTTTTGTGTCTGAATCTGGAGTTGTGGAGAATCCGTCCGGTCCGGAGCAAGTGTTTCTTGTTCCCTTATTAGGTGAGGCCGAGTGAGTGACTCTGACTTTAAGATGTCGCTTCAGAGTATGAGGCACTTCGCGATTGTTTCGCGGTGCCCTCTGACAAAAAGAACCCCACAAAAAATATTTAGACTGAATATTCGGTATTTTTCATCATCATCATCATCATCATCATCAACAACACGGAATTCGCCATTAGCCACTTTTAAAAGTTACACTTTTCCACGAAATTTTGAGGTGAAAGAGTTGCAACTCCCCGCCAAGATGAGTGACGACAAAAAGGTCCCAGAGGCCCCGCGAAAGCGGCTGGCGTATATTGCTCTGGGGAGTAACCTGGGCGACCGAATCGGGTGGATCGAGAAGGCGTGTGCCGAGATGGACAAGAGAGGGATCAGAGTGAAGAGGACGAGCAGTTTGTGGGAGACGGAGCCCATGTATGTTTTAGAGCAGGATAGATTCGTCAACGGTGCATGCGAGGTTTGTTTGGTTCTCATTCTAGCTTTCGTAATCCGTGTCAAAACAAAAGCTAAGCGGTTGAAAAATCAGGTTGAAACCACCCTTGAGCCCCTCGAGCTTCTCGATGCCCTCCAGGATATCGAAAACTCGCTCGGCCGCAAAAAGATCATCGACAAGGGTCCCCGCAACATCGACCTCGACATCTTACTCTACGACAACATCAAGTTCGACCATGAACGCCTCACGATCCCTCACATCGGCATCCCTGAGCGGGAGTTTGTTCTCAAGCCTCTGACCGAGCTCATCCCCTCCCACCCCGTAAACCCAAACAAACCATGGACTCTCACCCGCGACCTCCTCGACGCCCTCCCGCTCTCCCCATCCCCAATAACAACCATGACCCCCCTCTCCTCCAACCACCCGCCAATCCAGGCCCTCAACCCCGCCCGCAAGACCCACGTGATGGGCATCCTCAACATGACGCCCGACTCCTTCTCAGACGGAGGGTCCAACGACCCCAACTCAACTTTCACTCTGCAACAAACCATCGAGCAGTTCCTTTCCTCAGGAGCGAGCATGATTGACATCGGAGGGCAATCAACCGCCCCTGGAGCGCCCGAGGTTTCGGTCGAGGAGGAGCTGAGCAGAGTCTTACCTGCTATCAAACTGATCAGGGAGAGATTTACGGAAAAACCGGTGTTGATCAGTGTGGACACGTATCGTGCGGTCGTGGCGGAAGCGGCTGTTGGTGCGGGGGCGGATATAGTTAATGATGTGTCAGGGGGCAGTATGGATCCCGAGATGCTGTCTACTGTTGCCAGGTTGGGTTCTACCATCTGTCTGATGCATATGAGAGGGACGCCGGCGACAATGAACTCGCTGGCTGAGTATCCGGGGGGTTTGATACCGGGGATAGCGAAGGAGCTGGTGGCGAGGGTCGAAGCTGCCGAAGCGGCGGGGATAAGGAGGTGGAGGATTGTCTTGGACCCGGGTTTGGGGTTTGCAAAGATTGGGAAGCAGAATGTGGATGTTTTGAGGCATTTGGAGGAGTTGAGGATGTGGCCGGGGTTGCAGGGGCTGCCGTGGCTCGTGGGGAGCAGCAGGAAGAGCTTTATTGGGAGAGTCACGGGGGTTCCGACGCCTAAGGAGAGGATCTGGGGCACGGCGGCTACAGTTGCTGCTGCTGTGCAGGGCGGGGCGGACGTGGTGAGGGTTCATGATGTGAAGGAGATGGCCCAGGTCGTTGCTATGGCTGATGCTATTTGGCGGTATTAGGGGGGACAAAATGGAAGGGATTCAACACTTTAAACGGGGGCGGGGTTCAACAATATATAATGGATGTGGAGTTGTATATATGACCAAAAGCCGGTGATGCTCCTGGTATTAGGAGGGTAGATTGTATATAGAGGGGATATGTTAAACGTTTTACATCCATCACGCTGTTCTGAGGATATCTTGGAGACAGCTTCCCTGTCGTTTCAACTCTTCTCATTACTTAATTATTATCATCATTGTTTTTCTTGTCACTCGTGACTTGAGCTCACATATCTTCATTCCATTTTCATTTTCATTCTCACCCCCGCCTCCTCAAAAGTCATTTTGCTTGTCTTTCTTTTCTTCATGTCTCAATTTGCTGCTGTACACTCCTTAAAACTGCCAGAATCATTCATTCTAAGCAATCCACATAATTAAATGCATCACCTGAAGTGACACCACCGTCAACCACGAAACTGTTATTGATTTAGCACACAGAAAGTAAAACATGACTGGTTCAAGAATGGGGTTGAGGAAGAAGAAAAATCGTGTTAGGAAAAAACAAATTAATAAATAAAAGGTAAAACGAGGCAAAAAAGAAGAAGAAAAGAATGTTTGTTTGTGTCCTCGGTCAGGTTCGAACTGACGTCTCCCGGTCTACGCTAGATAAGGATATTCAAACGCTGGGGTTGACCGGGCGCGTAACCACTTCGCTACGAGGACATTTGTTCGGTGTCAGATTTGTGATCTATATACCCCTCTGGTCGGTTGTGGTTGTGGCTGTGGCGCGATGTGATGTGGTTATTGTGGGTTATGTGGTTGTGTTGTTGTGTGGTTGTCTGGCTGCTTATGTGTATCAGATTTCACGGCGGCGTTGGAAACCAACACGATAAGGTGATAAGTTGAAATGTTATTGAGAGACGATACGCCATGCTGCGCTATGTTATGCCTTCTTTTCCTAGCCTACCATCAACCCATGCCATGCTGTTCCCACCATAGAGACCACGAATATCATCTCTATCCCATTGCTCCGAACAAGTAGACAACCCGTAATGCTACACCTTCCAACGCCTTTCTCAATCAATGCCATGCCATTCCAAGAAACCAACAATCCGCCATGCAAAATATACTCGGGTATCTCCAACTCTCCAACACGTGGCGTCCTCGTTCAACATGAAGCATTCACGTCCTCTTTCCTCTTCTCCCTCATCCAGGCCTTATGCCTTCTTCCATGCTCTTTTCTATCTTCCCCGTTCAGAGGGTTATACAAGGTTCCGCAGTCTTTACATATCAGGAAGCCAGGCTCCTTGTTGATGGTCAAATTGAGTACAGTCTGCACCAGCTCCTTCCCTGGTGTTTGTGACTTGGATCGTTTCCCTTTGTCCTTTTCCTTTTCCTCTGTCTTGCCTGGTTGCGTGTATGTAGTGTTGATAGGCACCTCGCCCAGTGGTTCATCAATATGCTTGACAGTAATTGTGGACTCGTCCTCCTCTTCTTCACTGCCGGGATCATTCTCGGTGGAAATTGGGAAGGAGGGTTTCGTCGTTAAGCGTCTGCGTGTTCTGCGTGGTGAGGAGGAGGAGGGTGGTGGTGAAGGGGGACGTTCGACTGGATCTGAGGAAGGGATGTCGTCGGGAATTGACGGAGGACCTGAGGAGGGAAGAGGGGCAGGACGAGGTTTGAAGTATGCGAGGATTGAGCCGCGTTTTGCTTGTGGTTTTGGGGCTGGTGCTACCTCGATTGGTTTGGGTATTTGTGGAAGTTCTTCTGTGCTGGGTCTTGGGGCGGCATCTTCGCCATGCTGGACTTTGCGTTTCTTGACGGCGTGTTCTGGTTTGCTTGAGGTGGACTGCCGGCCGTATGTTCGCAATGGTCTTTTGCGTGGTCTTGGGGGGCTCGATGTGCTGTCAATTGCTTGTGCTTCGGTGGGTGAGGTTGATGGTTGGTTTATTGACATCGTCGCAACGTGTGTCGCGTCAAAGATAGAGATGATAGAGAGGGAGGGATTGTGGCGCAAGAACAAAATGTGGTTCCCTCGAAAAGACGCCGAGTGCAATTCAATGATAAGTATAAAAAAGTTATGCATCCCTTATCCTTGCGCAAAGTCCTGCGCATGGGTGTGATTGTTCGGGAGGGAGTTCGCGTTTTGCGCGGCGCGTCTGGCCCCACCGTGCACTTAAAGCTATGTACTTAAGCTATGACGCGGATTGCCCCACCTGAAATTCAACCATCGCATTGCTCAAGATATATTTTATTGCCATGAAGCCTGCCTATACCTATACTCACTCAACTTTTGATATCGCCTCTCTCAATTTTCCGTTGCCGGAGGGTGTCATCTCCCGGCGAACTGGTTTTCTCTCCCCCAACCGTAACCCCTTCATCATCAGCACCCACCGCCCACGTCTGAACGATCTCCTTGACTTCCTTGAAGCCCTTGTCCTTCTTTTTGGCCTCTCCAAGATGCCAGATATACCCGCCGTATAATGCAACTTCCGCAATGCCAACCAACAGGCTCCCACCCATGGTCAGGAACAATCTGGCTGGTGTGCTCCACCATCTTGCGATAATCCAAAGGCTGGCGGCAACACCCAGGATGCTGAGAACAAAGTTGAGAATCAACATGAGCTGCCTGTTTACGTCGTTGAATGTGATATCGTCATCCCCTGTATCATCGTTTCGGCTCGGTCGGTTTACCGCGGCGAACGCTTGTGCCATTCCGGCGTTGGTCGGGAATCGTTGAGAGAAGGTCTCCATCGATGATGTTGGGTTGGTCATTCGTTCGTATGCGCGCTCCTCCTCTTCCCGACGGAGACGGGCCATGAGGGCTTTGTATTCATCAGACTGAGGCAAGGTTAGCAGAATGGAGAGGAGGAAGTTTCCTCAGTTATGCGCAACTCACAGGTTCAGGTTTTGGAGGCGGCGGTGGGACGTGGACTCTGGCTCCTTTCAGCAATCCCTCGAGCTGATATTGCTTGTGTCCCCCATTCCTGAGCGCAGTCCAAAGGTCAACAATCTGGGCGTGGGAAATGGGATTGCCGACAGCTGGCTTTTTGAGTGACGGTTCGTCTTTTCTTGCTTCAGGCGCCTGTGTTGACTCTGACTCTGACTCGTTGTATAATTCAAGACCTTCCACAATGGAAGGGGTCATTGTAAGTAAAACCATTTTGAATGATGCACACCACCAGAATTGTTGTGATTGTAAAGCTGAGATGGGAAAGCTGTTGGCCATCAGATGCGAAACCGCGCGACAGGGATTGGATCACCGGCTCTTGGCAAAGGCAAGGAACAGGCATCAGAGTCCCACACCAGCCACATGCGAAAGCCACCAGAATCGAGACTCGTCCCACTCGTCCCAAAAAATTATCGGCAAAGGAACTTTTCGGGATCCACCATTGGTGGGATACAACCACTCACAGTCGCACTCGCCCGAGAAAGTTGGGGACAGCCAGGGCCGAAAGATCCTGGTTTCTCGGACGAGTTTCCACGTTCGACCCCAAAGAAGGTTGTGTCTTGAGGTTCAGAAGTCAATTGGTCTGTTTTCCCTTTGTTTTCTGCGGAGGAGCTGCGAGGAAAGGCGGGAAAAGTCACAAAGATGCAGCTTCGGACGGGAGCTTCAAAAATGGTGCGCGGGGCAAGAATCTCTCAGCTACTCCCAAGACTTTCCCCAAGATCCACCACCACCACCACCACACCACAGACACCCCTCGACGTCAGGATATTACAATCGAGAGCTCTCTTCTTATCCTCCAGACGAGATGCTTCGGCATTCAGCGCCGCGGTTTCGGTAGCCGGAAACATCGTGTCGAATGCCTTCACCCGCGCTAGTAAGGGCGACATGCCCTCGATCGACCCTCTGCGGATCGTCGCCAAGGAGATGAAGTTTTTGACTGGAAATATTAGGAAACTGCTCGGGTCCGGACATCCCTCCTTGGATCGCGCGGCAAAGTACTACACGCAGGCTGAGGGCAAGCATGTCCGGCCGTTAATAGTCTTGCTCATGGCGCGGGCGACTTCGCTCTGCCCAAAAGAGCCTCAAAGGCAACAGGCCACGATCAATGCCTCGGCTGCGATTGATTCGTCGATTTCTCCTCTATCGGTGCTTTCCGACTTTAACCCTTCAGCAAGTACTGCCGTCGCCGCCGAAGCCGAGTCCGCCGAGGTCGATATCCTTCCTTCGCAGAGGAGACTCGCCGAGATCACCGAGCTGATTCACACTGCTTCCCTCCTGCACGACGACGTAATTGATCATTCTGTCTCACGCCGTGGCTCACCGTCAGCCAACCTCGAGTTCGGAAACAAGATGGCTGTTTTGGCGGGCGATTTCCTTCTTGGTAGAGCATCAGTTGCGCTTGCGCGGTTGAGACACGCCGAGGTTGTCGAGCTTTTGGCAACGGTCATTGCGAATCTGGTCGAGGGCGAGTTCATGCAGCTCAAGAACACGGCGAGAGACGAGAAGAACCCGAGGTGGTCCGAGGAGACCTTGACGTATTACCTGCAAAAGACGTACCTCAAGACTGCGTCGCTCATCAGCAAAAGCTGTCGCGCGTCGGCGCTGCTGGGCGGAGCGGACGCCGCGACGGTTGATGCGGCCTATGCGTATGGAAAGAACTTGGGTTTGGCCTTCCAGCTTGTGGATGACATGTTGGATTATACGAGGAGCGAGCAGGAGTTGGGCAAGCCTGCGGGTGCGGATTTGGAGTTGGGGTTGGCGACTGCTCCGTTGTTGTTTGCTTGGAAGACTGAGCCGGAGCTTGGTGCGTTGGTCGGGAGGAAGTTTGAGAGGGAGGGTGATGTTGCGAGAGTGAGTCTGCTTCTCCGAGTTGCAAAGGGGTGTTTTGCTAATCAGCGGGCGATAGGCACGAGACCTGGTGATGCAAAGTGACGGCATCGAGCAGACCAGAGCTCTGGCAGAGGATTATGCGCAAAAGGCAATCGATGCCATCAGCGCATTCCCAGACAGCGAGGCCAAGGATGGGTTGATAGAGATGGCTGTCAAGACTATCAAGAGAAGGAAGTAAAGAAATAGACAGAGGTGGTGCTGTACTAACATCTTTTTTTTTACCATCAAAACTCACAAAGCGTAATTATTGAGAGAGAGGGTTGCATTTTGGGAGAAGCGGTAAAAAAAAGATATTTTTTTGGTATAGACAAACAAAGCAGCCTTTTTTTTAATGGCCGATGTATTTGTACAGAGGAGACAAGACAAGACAAGACAAAAAAATGAAAGAAAGACAAAAAGGAAAGGCGAGTGAGGCGGGGGAAAAAAAAGTCTATGAGGACAAAACATGTGTATGTATGTATGTATATTTGCATATATTTGGCGCTTTGGGAGAATCAAATTGATGGGCGACTCCGCTCAAATCTGTTAAAGATTTTTTTTTTAAAAAAAAAAAAAAAAAAAAAAAAAAAATTGGGGGTTGTAGAGGTGTGGTGTCTATCTACTTCGTGTTTTGTTGTCGGACAAGATGGAGGTTGTAACGTAGGAGATGGTCAAGAGCCGATCGTCGTCGTCTGGCGTCTGTGGTATATTTCATGGAGAAGGATCCGGATAAATCTCGCATGGTGTGGATGTGGAGAAGAGGGCATCTAAATGCACCATTTACAATTACAATACAATGCAATACAAGCCTTGAACGTTTGCTAGTCTAGCGGGTAGGTAAAGCAAGGTAATCTTGTGCTGTGACCTGGAAAAAAATATAAAAATGGCCAAATATCAAAATTTT